ACACCGCAGAGCTTTAGAAACACTTCTTAGATCAACAAATTTATGCAAATTATGAAAATTTGTACAATTCTTACATTATGGACAATCATGCTGATCAAGAGAATGGATCACGAAGCGCTTGAAGACCGGACATTAGCAGAAGAGATCAAAAACTTATGGCTAATTATTTATATCACAATCTTTTCTCACTGAGTTTCTAAACCATTTCCCACTGTAAATCCCTGAAATAATATTCTAAGCAACGCAAAGAAGCCAAATATGTTTCTGCTAACTAACCTGCAACTAAACCCGCAACTCCAGCTGCTACTCCAGCTATGGCTGATCCAGCCGCTAACCCTACGGGTCCTCCAACGGCGACACCGCCTACTACGGCTGCAGTCACTGTTGTCTATACGGAGACCAATAAATTCGCATAAGCTTTCTATTCTTGATGATTTTACATCATTATATTACTGTTGACACGAAGTATTTGTTGCAAGAACAACAACAACAGCAACTGTCGACAACAAGATAGACCACGGTAAATCTCACCCTATTCGTTTTGCTCCTCACAGCCTTCTTCAGCTGCTCGTTACCATATTTGATATCATGGGTAGCACGCTCAACGTGCTCCTAAAGTGGGTTTTAGAAAGATGATAAAGATGATGACAAAGACTGTAAATGCATAAGAAAAGCTACACTATTCATTCACAGCTAGGATTGAATACACACACATTGTGCAATCACACCGCATACCCAATCCAAAGAATCACTAATGTCTGATTGGTCAAGAGCACAGCTTTAAGATGACCAACCAAATGCTTAATTTTTTGGAATTGCTATACGATGTGTAATCATGCAAACAAGTGTGCACAAAGCATCGGTTAGGAAACTTGACGGGTACCTCGATGGAGTCGACAACTTCGTGTTGCTCATGAACAATTGTAGCCAGCTCGGCAAAAATCTCTTCAAGGTCTCTCATATCCTAACAAATGCAGAGATAAGAAACAATCTCACATTCTTTGATGCCAAAAATACCTTGTTCAATTTAGCAGTTGCGTCAGCCATCATTTTCGCCTCTTCTGCTTTCGCTTTTAGCTCAAGAGCTCGCGAATCGGTCTCTTGTACATACCTAAAATCTCAGGAAATCCCAGCGAAGCAAAAACGGCAGATACAAAAATTATTTGTGGTACCAACTAAAAAGGAAGTCAAACATGGAAAATTAGGAGAAATATATAGAAATAGTCGAAATGATGAGCGGATAAACCCAAAGAAGAAATATATACAATGTCTAAGAACTCTTACCTCCTTCCTTCTAACTCATAGGGATTCGTGTCATCGGAATCTGGTTCTTCAAAAGGATTCTTTGATTCCAAAGGTGGTAATGACGCAGTGGCATTAATTGCTGCTTGAATCTGTTTTCTGAAGAAAAGTGGATTGACAAACTTCGAATGCACTTGTCACCCTTATAACTTACCGGATAGACTCAACACGATTATCAAACTGTTCTCGTCCTTCGGCATCAAGATTATCACGTTCACCTAATAACTGAGCAAGACTCGATTGAAGATGTTGTCCTATTCGGTCAATCTTAAATGCATAAGTCGAATTAGAGTATGGATATAGTAGAGATACATATCCGAAGCAAAGAAAAACCAACTTGATCTCTAACAGACGCTGAATCTGTATTGCGATTCATGGCCATTCGCTGGAGTTTGCGTAAATCACGCAGTTGTCCTATAGCTAATCTTTCATAGCGATCGACAACTATACTCATACGCTGCCACGACATCTAAATCAAAATAGGCAAAGTGCCATTTCAATCTTTAAAAAATACCAAGAATTAAGGATAAAACAGTGGAGATACGTAAGAGGAGAAACTCAAGGGAATAAGTCAAAACGACAAGTTGCAGTAATAATTTATCAATTATTAAATTCGAGCAAATCAAGATGTTGCATAAACATATGCTGATCACTCGGTGGCCTTCTTTTCTCTTGCTTGCAACTTTTCTACGTATTTTCGCACATCCCGGTAATAACTCCTATAAAAAGCGCAATCCATGGATGTAGTAGAGGCATAAAAACAATAGCAAGAAAAATTGATTTAAAGATTGAGAGTGACGAAACAAGAATACACTACATACCTTCCAGCTGCTTTCTGCTCATCTACAACTCGTCCTAAGCAGCGAATAAGATTTCGGAACGAATCCGGCTTGGCCGTTTCGATCATTTCCTCAGGAATTTCACCCAAAAGAGCACGAACCTTGAAATACTTGCTTTA